TAAGTGAGATAGTGCAGGGCCCGGCGGGTTCTTCTAAATTCTCAGTAACAGGTGGCTTATAAAACAGAAACAAAAACAAAGCACAAGTGAACAAGAAACCTCAGCCTGAGCCCTCTTGCACCGGTACTTGAGTGACCAGCCCTCAAGCCTGGAATTGATCACTCCCCAGAAATGCAGGCAATCCCGGGAGCATTTCCTTCCGGACAGCGGCGATCAGCTTCTTCCTCCTCTGACTTCCTCGGTGGCCGGGATGCCGGACAGCAACAGGCACAGCCCGGTGTGAAGCTGCATTCCGACAACACGAGGAGCCCGTGGGGCTCAGTCCTCTAAGCATGTTCAGACTGCAGTCACCACATTCCCACTTTGCAGTCTTCTTAAACAGCATAAAAGCTTTAACCCACTTTTCTCTCTTTCCCACTATAAAAGTCATACAAATTCTCTCAAATATTTGGAACGCTTAGAAATGTATTAAGTGGGGGGGGGACCTGAGCTCACGTATAAAATCTTATGCACAGAGGCAATTTATTTATTTTTGAGATAAGGTCTCCCCATGGAGCTCAGACTGGCCTTAAATGCACTGTGTGGTCCAAGTTGGCCTTGAACTCACGGCATCCTCCTGTCTCAGCATCCTGAGGAGTATAGGTAGAATACAGCATGTGCCACCCTGCCTGGCTCAAGAGCAATTTAATGTTCACAATTTAAATATACTGTATTTCCTTCCAAATTTTTGATGCTACACATTCAATTTTATTCCCTTTTCTCTGTCTTCCTCCTAAGACATTTTATAAATTGAGGGTTGTGTGTATATTTCTTCCTCAGGACTGAACCCAGGGCTTTTGCACTGAGCTACATCCCTAGCCCTTTCTTATTTTGAGACGGGGTCTCACTAAGTTGCCCAGGCTGGGCTCTAACTTGGGACCCTTCTGGCTCAGTCTCCCAGAGTGACGGGAGTTACAGGTGTGTGACACTGTACTTGGTTTTATAAAGTCTAGGTTTTAACAGCTTTGAAACATTCTGCCAATAAAAGTCATATTTAGGTAGTTCAACTTTTTTCCTATTATGCTAATAACACTGTAACCATCTTTTTCACTAAAATCTTATCTCATTTTTTAATCCTTTCTTCAGTGTGATAAACAATAACCTGGACTTTTTTTCTTTACAGTTACATGCTTATATTTACTTATGTAGTGCTGAGCTGTACTGACTTGTTAAACGGATGGGCTAAATGGTTTTTTATTGCTGCTTTATTATGTATTCCCTTGAGTACTAGTAAGCTTAACTTTTAAAAAATATTAGCCATTTATTATATCTTTTTCAATGAATTCTCCAATTGTGTCTTTCCCCACTTTCTCTCCTCTTCCCCTAACCCTCTTCCTCCTCATCTTCCTCCTCTTCCTCTCCTCTTCCTTTTTTTTTTTTGGTAGAGACAAGGCCTTAGTCTGCTGCCCAGCCTGGAGCAGTGGCTACTCCCAGGCCTAATCCCACTGCCAGGCAGCAGAGCCAGAGGCTTGCCACACTGATGCCCGATTTAGTGCAGACGCCCGGCAGCATATCAGTGTGGCCTCAAACTCCTGGGCTTGAGCAATCCTCCTGTCTCATCCTCCTGAGGAACGGGCACCATGCCCCGCTTCGTTCCTCACTGGTCCCCTAGGGCTTGCTTGTCTTCCTATGGGCTCTGTCTGTGCTCTACGAACCATCCAACTCATGTGCTGCACGAATTGGAAAATGATTTCATACTGTTTCTCTTGGTAATTATAGTTTTAATATTCTTCCCAGGGTTTAAACTTCGCTGTCTCTACAGTTATCCACTCCAGCAGCCTACCTGAGAATCTGAGCCAGAATCCTCTTTTTTGGTCTTCAGTGGTACCTTTGTCCCTACATTAAAAAAAAAAAAGTAAAAATATCAGAGAAGACTGCATAGTACAAGAGAAAGCTGAGGTCTGGAGAGCAAAGGTCTGGGATTCCAGATGGTGCCATGCATCCTTGCTTGTACCCCCTTCTCCAGGACAGTTTACCTAATCAAGGGACACACTAATTCATTGAACTCCACAGTCCATTTCCTTTTTTTTTTCCCCTCGAGACAGGGTCTATGTAGTTCAAGCTGGCCTCACATTTATTATGTACCTCAGGCTGGCCTTGAACTCACAGTGATCCTCCTGCCTCAGCCTCCCAAGGGCTGGGATTATAGGCATGCACTACCATGTCCAGCTACAGTGCATTTCTGTTTGAAAATCCTTGCTGTTTCTTCTATGACGCTGTCATAGAATCCAGCTCTTTGAAAGAGAACCCCCATAATGAGTACCCCAAATAAATAACCATTTGAAATAATTTTTCTTTTACCTTAAAAAAACACAGCATTATGGTTATACAGTATAAGTATTATCATATCACTGGTTTACTTGAAATAGGACACAATAAAAACTATAATGCAATGAAATAAAATACAATTTATTTAAAAAAACTATTAAAAAAACCTCCCCTGTTCTCTCTACTCACTGAAAACGTCTGCCCCGGGGGCGGGGTGGTCCTCAGCCAGCTCCACGAAGTTAAGGGGGAAGATCCCGGTTCTGTCTCCAAGCTCTCCTCTGGCCCATTCCTCATTCACAAACTCTTTAAGAACAATTACTTCTCCCTCAGAGAAGCTTAACTCATCCCTCTGATCTCCAATATATTCAAACCGAGCAATGCATCTTGGTTCTCTGAACAAAGAACACATTTGTGGGGTAAACTAGAGAATACATGTATTTTTTAAACAAGATGTTTTAATTGGTTTTATTTTCAGTTCCCAAGTTTGGCAACACTTTACTACATAAAACAGAGTAAGTGTTCCCTAGCACTAATTTTTTTTGTTGTTTTGTGGTACCGGGGAACAAACTCAGGACCTTGTGCTTGCGAGGCAGGCGGTGATGCCACTGATCTAAATCCCCGGCCCCTAGTACTAATTTTTAAAATGTTTTAAAACCTTTATTCAGTCTTTCAATAAATGTTTTCTTCCTTTGTGTACTCTGACACAAGGTATACTTGGATAATTTAAAAATTTCTCACAAGAAGAGGGACGTATGTAAATGACAGGGCCTACTTTTGAGATGTGCCCCATCCCTCGGAAAAGCTGACGCTCAAGGGTAAGGGCAGAGTCAGCAGCGGGTGGCAGCTGACACCGTCACATCTGTCTTCGGATCCCGTTTACTTCTTCATCAGATCTGCCCAGACGCTCTGCGTCCTTGGGCTGTGGCAATTGTGGCCCAGTCTGAGACCTCAGTCACAAGCGCGTTTCGTTTAGGAGAGCTGGCCCTGAAATTCAACTTCCTAACCAAGCACCAGGCCGCAGGCCAGGGCATCAGCTTTGCAGAGGAGACGGTGCGGTGGAAGCTTGCCAGTCAACGCACGTAATCTCCCCGATTCTGCTGCTTTACAAGGTGATCCCTTTTCTTGTTTTCTTCGGTGTTACTGATTACTGAAGGCCAGGGCATCAGCTTTGCAGAGGAGACGCACAGTACGTGCTGAACCAGGCAGAGCGGCCTGACCTGTGAGGAGAAGGTGCGGTGGAAGCTTGCCATTCAATGCACGTAATCTCCCCGATTCTGCTGCTTTACAAGGTGATCCCTTTTCTTGTTTTCTTCGGTGTTACTGAGATAGGGACTCGCTATATAGTTCAGGCTGGCATGGACTCACTATGTAGCACACTCTTGCCTTAAACTTACAGTACTCCTCCTGTCTCAACCTCTCATGAGCTGGGATTGCAGGACTGCACCACCGTGCCCAGCTTTGATTCCAGGATCTTCTTCAAAAAAGGCTTTGTAAAAGAAAAAAAAAAGGTGTGGTGGTACACGACCGTAATCCTCAGCACTCGAGAGGCTGAAGCAGGAGGATGGCTGCGAGTTCAAGCCAGCCTGAGCTACATAGTGAGACTCTGGCTCAAAAACAAAACAAAACAAAGACCCTAAAATGGCACCGTTTCTGACTTTTGGAACAATCCTTAAGTGATCTCCAAGTTTTTTTTGGCACTAGGGATTGAACTCAGGACCTTGGGTTTGTGAGGCAGGCCCAGTGCCACTGAGCTAAATCCCAGGCCCTGATTTGCAGCTTTGACTGAAAGTAATATAAAAGTGCAGATGAAACTCTGCCTCTAGAAGCTATGACAATACCAAACTTTTGATCTGAGACTTCACAAAGCAAGTTTCGATGGCAAGAAGCAAGAGACCAACAAGTGCCTGAAGGGATGAAGGTGGTTCTAGCTCCAATCAGATTCGGACTTAAATTGGGTCAGTGGATCCATGGCTGTTCATGCCCACTTTGAATTCAGTTCGCTGACACGGTGCATGCTGCTTAAAAACAGGAGAAAAATTGAACCCGAAACAAAATTCAAATGCTGTGGCATCAGAAGTTTCCTTATTTGTGATAACCTTTGCATTTATCTTCTCAAGTCCCTTGGGAGCATCTCCTTCTGTCTGACCTATTCCTAGACAGGTTTATAGTCTTCACCAGGTAGTGAATCCTATTAACTTCCTCATTTAACTAGAATATAAAGCTGCACTGCGGCAAGGTTTTAAATCACAGAGGAGTTACAACGATGGATAAAAAGGTACATAAATTCATGCAAAGGTCTTCAGACACACAGGAGGACCCCTTCAGTTTAATTCTTCCTTCACTCCTCCTGTTTCCTCTTTAAGTGAACAATACAAAATGTCTAACAGGTTTTTGTTTTGTTTCGCAGGGCAGGGGTTGGAACCCAGGGCCTCATTAATGCCAGGCACTTGCTCTAGCATGGAGTGACACCCCTGCCCCACCTAGCAGTTTTGTAGGATTCATATTTCTACAAGATTAGATTCTATGACAAAAATACTTGAACCTTGTAAAAATCTGTTGGTAGACAAACAGAAGGTCGAACTAAAACGAACTGGGGACAAAACCAGCTGTGCTGAGGCTGAGGGATGCATCAGGACAGACTCCACTTGGCTGCTGTCTTCCAGGCCTGCACGGAGAACTGCAGGTTGCATTTTTATGAGGAGTTACTATCACTTTTAAACAAGTCAAACTTTCCTCATAATTTAAAAATATACCGAGAAGCCAGACATGGTGGTATATCCCTGTAACCCTAGCACTCTGGAAGGCTGAGCCAGTAGGTTTGCAGGTCTCAGTCCTATCTGGACAATTTAGACCCTGTCTTGAAAAAATAAATTAATTAATTAAAAGCCTGGGAATATAGCTCTGTGTGAAAGCCCTGGGTTCAATCCCCAGTACTGCCAACAAACAAAAATCTCAGCAGGTGTGGTGGTGCATGCCTGTAATCTTAGCTCTCAGAAGGCTGAGGCAGGAGAAGTGCTACAGGTTCAAGGCCCACCTGGACTACATAGTGAATTCAAGGCCAGTCTGAACTACGTAGGCTAGACCCTGTCTAAATTAAAAAAAGAAGAAAGAAAAGAACCCTCCTTCCACAACAAACAGAAAGACCCTGAAGATCTGAGTAATCACACGTTGGAAGTATTTAAGCTTAGTATTCTTCATGATTTACCTGCTTGCTTTCTCTGCATTGTGTGCAAAATAAAAATAACTTATTTATTAACTTACTTATTAACACAATGAGATGAAACAGATTCTCTTTTCCCACTTCCTCCTTCTGGAATATCAACCTAGTAAAGACAAAACCATAGTAACAACTATATTTTTTTTTTTCACTTTTTAATACGCTTAAGGCCAAGTTAATTAGGAAATGCATGATTGAAATCAGCCAGTTAAGCTAGGGTTAAACCTGTCAGTATGACAAGTGCTAAATAGTAAGAATTTCTGAATTTGGATTTTAAACAAAAAGTATAGCTTATGATGTAGCCCTCCTTGGATAGACAGAAAATCCTCTTATTTGCTGGAATAAGCATATTAGTGTCATTCTACTCCTGATCGTTTTCTCTGTCCCAGGAGCTCTAAGTTGAAAACTTCAGCTGAAAAGGATTTAAGATAGAAATCAATCAATTTAAGATAGAAATAGGGGCGTCTGCCTGTAATCCCAGCACTCAGGAATCTGAGGCAGGAGGATCGTGAGTTCAAAGCCAACCTGGACTACATTAGCAAGACCCCATCTCAAAACACAAAACAGAACAAACAAAAGGATAAAACCCAGACATCAGGCCTATGCTGCCACACATCAGTGCCACCACACCTGATCAGAGAGGGCAGGATTCTGTAATATCTTCTTGACCTCCAAATAAAACAATCAGACCAAACTTGTGGCTCCTCTCCATAACTATGGAACATTTTTTCCCCCTTCAGTGTGAATAAGGAAGAGAGGAAGGAATTCATACTAAACAAGCATCTACTCACCGGAAAGCACTTTCTATCACACCTCATTCACAAGGCTCAGGAAAGCTGGGCTGTAATCAGATTCCTGGCCATGTGCATGCAGTCTGAAACTACTTACGGCTGTGAGGTTTATATTAAATAAATAGGGCACTCTTGATGAATTCTACAAGTTTGAAGTTTTAAAACAATTTTTTAAACTTGTGGGCTTAGAAATAACATTTATACCAGTAATGTGGCAGACTCAGTGTGATTGATTTCAGTGTGGTAATTGTGCTTTTAAAGTACTGCTACATTGGGCAGAAGAAAAATGAGGAAGAGTGTTAAAGCTAACATTATTCTTAATATTAATCTAGAGAATGTGGTTGAATTTCTCCAAAGAATCAGGCCATATATACACTAAGTAATTTTTAAGACCTGCATTTCATTATCCAAGAGACTCAAACTCATTTCTATTTAAAAATACAGATTTTCTTATACTTGTTTTCTAAATTTCTGATGTGATGGAAAATTGTTTGCTTTCCCCCCTCAAATAAACTGTTAACACTAACTACTTAAGCAAGCTTTCCTGACAACTGCAGTATGGATGAGTTACGTTAAGGGCCAGGTCACAGTCCTCCTGCTAACACAGCAGTCCGCGGGGTGGTCTCCTTTCACCCCATGCCCCACATGCCTGGACTGAGCCCCTGGGCTCATGGGTCAGGTGGTGAGGTGTACAAAGTTCCAAGGCATTCGTGGACTTTCCCAATCAGATTTGAAATCAATGGATCACTACCTTCAGTAAAAGTGTTTTAGTATTCCCAAAATGAGTTTTTGGAAAAATGGAGATAAATAGTTGAAGAAAACAAAGAAAGCAAAAAAAAAAAAAAAAAAAAAAAAAAGGAAAAAAAGAAAAAAAAAAAAAAAAAAAAAAAAAAAAAAAAAAAAAAAAAGAGAGAGGGAGACAGAGAGGTGGTACCATGACTTCAGGAACACTCCTTTCAGGACATTAGTGCCATTTCACTCATGTTCACTAAATGTTTCAAAGAATTAACATAAATCCTTAGGTGTTTAGCAAACCTCTAAAAATATCTGATTCACCCACTGACCTGTGGTGACCTTTCACTTTTATAATCCAGGCAGCATTTAGAAGGTATATCAGAACAATTAATCATCACCTAGCCGAACAAAGCCTTTTACTTTTGAATTTTCTAAATGCCATAGGAATGAAGAAAGAGAGAAAACTAGAACTCAAGAATGAATTGAGGCTTCTAGCTCTTTTCCTCAACTGCAAGTAACACGGGAGCCACACAGCACACGACCAACTGCAACAAGCCTGACCCACTTACGATTACTTTGACGTAGTTGGCAGGAAACACACCAGTCTGGTTTCTACATTTCCCTCTGTACCAGTCTGTATCTATCTTTTCGAGAAGATAAACAATTTCTCCAGATGTGAGGTTCAAATCATCAACTTGCTCTGTAATATCACAGTAGAGTTACATACGATAAATTATCTTGGTTGCAGATTTAGCCAGACAACAAGGTAGAATTTAGTTTTGCCAACTAAGGTAGTATGTTCTATTGATTAGAAAACAGATTATACTAAGCCAGGTGTGCTGGTGCATGTGTGTAATCCCAGCACTCGGGAGGCTGAGGCAAGACTGCTGTGAGTTGGAGATCAGCCTGGGCCACATAGTGAGTTCCAGGTCAGTGTCAATGACACAGTGAGAGACCCTGTCTCAAAAAAACCAAAACCAAAACCAAACAAACGAAAAAAACCTCAAAAACAAAAACAAAAACAAAAACAGATTATACTAGTCAAATTTACCATTTTTAAGAAAATTGTTTTGAATTTTGACATTATGAACTTTCCTAAGATCAAATTAGCTATATCTACTATGCACTGATGAATGGGAAATGATTTTTTTAAAAAACCCATTATGTTGGCCAATGATTCCTACTGGTGCTAATATAAATCTCTTAATGAATATACATTGAACAGTGAAAGAGCTTTATGGACATGATATAATATTATCATTCTCATTCATGCTTAAAATCATTTCAACTTCAAATATTAACTAAGGGAGTATTATAGGTCTTTGGCAAGTAAATTTATCCACACTAAAATACAGTTTATCAAGTGGATAAAATAAATAAATCAAAAGAATTTATTTCAGGGCTGGTGAAGTACCTCAGTGGCAGAGGGCTTGCCTAGCATGTGTGAGCTCCAGGGTTTACTCCCCAGCATTGAAGGAAAAAAAACGTTTATTTGTAGTCTTGTATATGAACGGTATGTAAAAAATGGGTATAAAAATCAAGCATTGGGATCTCATAGGTAAGTATGGATAAGAGAATTTAGGACAAAAGAAATTCACTTACTGAATCAGAATTGAAAATTTATTACAATAGTCAGTCAGTACCCAGTATTGTGAAAGAGATAAAAAGTTGAGTTTCCTATTGTCATGTCTGTGTCGGGTCCCCCTCCCACCCCATTTCAAAGGCAAGGGTAACAGCTCTCTGCAGGCATCTCTAATCTAGAATCTACAAGCACAGAAAAGAAAGAAATTAACTTCAGGAGGATGTCTTGCTCTATCAAGTTATTATTTGTATCCTTACCTGCTGGAAAATCATGAAGTACAACAGCATGAGGAGTATTACTGTCAACAGGCTTCTGAGCATGGCTCGAATCCTTAGGGGCCCAGCAGGGCTGTGAAGGAAGTGAAAGGACAGATGCTGCACTTATTATTCACTTTGAGATTCTCTTAGTTACTTTTCTTGTTGCTGAGACAAAATACCTGACACCCACGACTTAAAGGAGGAAAAGTTTATTTTAGCTCACAGTTTGTAGGGGTTTCAGTCTATAGACAGCTTGCTCCAAGGCAGGTTGTCATGGCAGAAGAAAAACAGTCCATGGCAGGGCAGGGAGAAAGCAGCAGCAGCAAGCCTTTCTTTGTCTTTTATTCCACTCAGGCTAAAATCCTATTGGATGGTGTCACCCACACTGAGGGTGGGCCGTCCTATCACCCACACCCAGAAGTATGCTAAATCAATCAGTAGACTAGTTTAGTTACTGCACACCTTAGCTTCAGCCACTTCTGAAAAGCCCCACCCATGAGCACATGAGGCTTTGGGGGACATCTAGATATAATCCATATACAAGCCATAACAAAGACCACATTTCTTTCTTTCTCTTTTTTTTTCTGGTACCAAGGATCGAACTCAGGACCGTGCACTTGCCAGGCAGGCGCAGTGCCACTGAGCCACATCACCGGCCCCTCTTTTTTGTCCCCCCTCGTTAGAGTTCTCTTGACACAATTATAAGATGCAAACCATATAGGTGAACAAAATGGGGGAATCATTATCAAATTGAAAGGAAATGCGTCCTTGCCAGGGAAGACAGAAATAACTTTCAATACCCTCCATGAATACGTCTGTCTTCCCTCCCTCCTCCCACCTTCTTCCTTGCTTACTTTATCCCAGGAAGTGAAACCAAAGGGAACTCCCTAAGTAAAAAAAGAGAAAAAACCAATGGTAACTATTCTGTCTCAGAGAAGTGTTTGTTTGTTTTTTTTTTAAACCTCATTACCTTTCAATCAAGGGTCGTATTTTTCTGTGACTAGACTAAACCTTAAAACAGAGCCTTAAAATTTGTATGTTTATTAGGGTGAGAGAAGAAGTTCTGTAATTTATGTTCTTGCCTTTTGTATAGAAGGGAGTTAATAACTTCCCACACACAAAAAAATCCATTTCATTTATTATCACCTAACTGAATGCTTTCTCTAAGTTGAAAGCAATGCTACCTCCCATGCCTGGCCTGGATTCTCTGTTTAGTTTGACCGATTTATTCTACAGTGATTCTAAGTAAATTAGCCAAGAGAATGTAATATTGTCCAGTTATCTAGCCAATGGCCTAGACTGGCTGAGGAGAGGGTCAGAGTAAAGAGGGGTCTTTTCTTATGACAAGCAGTTGTTACTCTTAGTTTGTTTACATGAGGAGACAAGCTCATCCACACCACCACCACTGCCTAATCCGACTGCAGGGTGTTATTTGGAGTTACAATTTAAAACTCTCACTGGGCACAGTGGTCCAGACCTGTAATCCTAGCACTCAGGAGGGTGAGGCAAAAAGACTGCAAGTTCAAGACCAGCCTGGGCAACTGAATGAGACCCTACCTTAAATACAAAAATCAAAAAACTCTTCAATAATTGCAAACCTGCAAAACAAATGAAGGTTGTTTCTATGGCCATTGTCTCTTTGTCCTGTCAATGATTCTTGTGCCCTCAGCCATACCCTAACTTTCTCTCTGCCCCTCCTTCTCTATGCTGCAACGGACTGAGGAGACCACACAGTGAATAATGGTCCACTCTCTCCCTTCCTACACTGCAGCACCTTTGCTTGGATCTTTTCTGAATCTCATATGTTCTTTCAACCATAATGCAACAGAGAGGCAACCGGTATTCTCTTAAATTAGGTAAAATGAAACATGGCCCAGGTCAAGACAGTAACGGCTAATGCAGCCTACTCTATCAGCTTACTAAGGTAAGACTAACATCTTCTTAGGGACTGCTCAATGCTTTTCCCCAAATAAATGAGAAATATGGGAGTTTCAGGAACCATGGAAATGAGCTGTGTGATATTTTAGATGTGAGAGAACCTTAAATTTTCTTTATTTATGCAATTAATTTTATGTGTACATGTGTGATTTTCATTTTTTATCACATCTGTGAAGAAAGGAATGACTACTCAATAAATGACATTAGGCTAGATGGTATCTATTTGGAAAAAAGAAGCTAGAGAGCTACCACCTCACACCTAACACAAACATTAGCCTTTAAATGGACCAAAGATCTAGGCAGGAGAGACCCTGAGAGGTGCGGAAGGTCATTTTGCCTCCCAAGTACAGTTCCCCTCTCAGCCTTCAGCGGATGGACATCCCGGGCAATGGGGCCCGTCAGCTGGGCCTGACAGGTGCAGGGCCAGGGAAGGGACAAGGGGATCAGCACAATGTGGACCAAACCACCAGCTTGCATGCAGCTCTGGCAGGGACACCTAGTACTTTTCAAAGGTATTTTTACATCACTGCTAATACAAAGGGCATTATACTAATAAGAATAGCTGGTATTCATTGTTCCTTTGCTGTGTCCACTCACTGTGATAAAGCACCTACTAATGGTTCAGATTTGAAATGTCCCCCGAACTCATGTGCCAAATGATGAGCTTTTGAAAAGAGACTGAATCGTGAGGTATAACTAAATCCTAAAGGAAGATTCACTGTCACCAACAGGGATAATGACATGGCCATTTTAGGACATTCCTCGGTGTATAGCACAAGTTAAGAAGGTGATGTTTAAAGTGGAATAGCTCTGGACAGTTGTAATGTTTGAGTGTGGATGTGCATGCCTATCATCCCAGAACTCTGGAAGGCTGAGGTAGGAGGAATGCAAGTTCAAGCCCTGGCTGGGCAATATGGCTAGACCCTGTCTCAATAAAACAAGTAAAATAAAAAAAGGTATAGGGGCCTCACAAGTGCAAGTTCGATCCCAGATACCAAAAATTGGGCAATATGGCTAGACCCTGTCTCAAAAAAACAACAAGTAAAATAAAAAAAGGTATAGGGGCCTCACAAGTGCAAGTTCGATCCCAGATACCAAAAACAAAGCAAAACAAAGAAGCTCTGCTAAAAATACACTTCTACCAATTGGTCAATAATATTTCTCCTGATAAACAAATGACCTCCAATAATCTTTGTATCCTCCCAGGCTCTGAAAATTTATTAGGCCTACATTGTGATTTGCAGGGGCTGGATTGTATTTCATTACTTTAGGAGCTAAAACTAGAGGAGTGAAGTTTATATTAAGTTTATACTTTTTTTTTTTTTTTACTGGGGATTGAACGCGGGTCCTTGTGCTTGCAAGGCAGGCCACCGAACCGCTGAGCTAAATCCCCGGCTTAAGTTTATACTTTTAAAAAGGAAGTATGTAGCATTTATAGGGCCCCCTTTAAAATTACTATCCATTCTGCTAGATAACTAATCTCTGGCACTTCGGTAATCATGTTTATATTACTTAAAAAATAGGGCCGGGAAATGAGAACCAAGACCTGTCATGTAAAGGTACAAGATCCCAATGATGAATGTAACTGTACTGTATACCTAAAAAGTACCAATAAACTCAATGAGAAAAAAATAGCTCATGGATTTAGCTCAGTGGTTCCACTGCCTGCTTTGCAAGCATAAGGTCCTGAGTTTGATCCCGGTACCAAAAAAAACAAAAAAACAAAAACAAAAAACCAAAATAAAAACAAACAAAAAAACAGCTTTCCCCGCTGAAAATTCATGGGTGAATATTCTGGCTCCTAATAGGCCAGCTATGAAAAAGGCAAAAACCAATGGTAGTCATTGCATGTATTAAGTATTTAGGATGGCAGTAGCAAGTCTCTCAGAAGTCATTTATTCTAAAAAGGGAGTGAAATGCTACTGTAACTTTTATTCTGGTTAAAATAATCATGCTAATAAAGTAAACCTAGGGATGATTAATAGTTCTATGAAATGTGCTGCCATGTATAGTGCAAGGGCTGTACAATATTAATTCCTTACGTTGGCTCTGCTTCTGAGGTTTTCATCAAGAGGAGTGATAATCTTTATCTGAGACACGTGAACTCTGCCGGTATCTTCTCCCTTTTGGCATTCCAAGTAATTATTTTCCGCTTGCTTCAGCATCACAAGTACGTCCCCACGCTGTAAGGTACAATACCACTCGATGAAGCAATTATTATTTAATAAAACATTATTACTTTTCCATATTTTAATCTTTGGAGCCTAAAGCATTTAATAATGTGTAATAGCAGTGACAGAGGCCAGCAGGGCTTTTTTTTTTTAAATACCAGTCAGTAAAGAAAGAGTTCTGCTTTACCTTACAAGAGAGTTCTCCAGGGTTTTGAGACACAATGTCTTCACTGGCAATTCCATGAGGCAAGGGTAGCTTAAATGCAAATGGATTAAAGAATTACTCTTCAACCAAAAAATATTCCCACTAGTTGTTGACCACTTAGGGTTCTGGCAAGTACACCTAAGACACACCTCTCTAGCAGTTAAACTCTCAATTAGGTCCCTCCGGGTCCTAGATCTAGTGGGGCCTGCCATGTCTCACAGACCTTGAAGTTTCCACCATGTGAAGTTGAGCCCACAGGACCTTAAGGGCTGAATGTGGCCTGCAGTTCCCTTAATAACCACTACCAGGAAGTTCCATGTTATAGAACAGTTGCACCAAATCCCTTGGGGCACTGAAAGCTAACTGCTCAGCTTTCAGAAGGCAACCACTGACCTGTGAGGTCAGTTGCTAACAGGTGACTGAAGCTCTCCATGTAGGGTTTGACTGCTGTTTCCATTTGCTTTGCACCTAGAATCTCCAGGATACCTAGTGTCTTTTTAAACCCATTTCACTGCCCGGCCCCAGCCACTTCCTGGTCTACTGAGTTTGGTGTGGCCTCAGCACAGTTTTCACATTGTGCTCCACTCTGGCCAGGAGGGCTCTTTTCATGGCTTGGTGAATGTGAGTCGATACGTCAGAGGGTCTCTACAAAGTACAAAGCATACCCAGGAGATGCAAGCACACACACTCCCAACTTGAAGTGGGAGGCTGCCTGGGCCCGCAGATCATCCAGGAGTAAAGATGAAGAGGTCTGTGTTAAGTAGTACAGCTTCCTGGCTTCCTCAGTCTCTGTGTATAACAGATTCCAGCTCGCTGGCTAGCAGGCCAGCAATTTAATGGTAGGGTAGTCATGAAAAAATACATAATTTAAGCAATGACTTCATGACAAAAGTCATAATCACTCTGAATTTGCTCTCATTTTGATGTATTAATTGCCTTGAGTTCTTTAAATGTTTTACTGACAGTACAAAGCTATGCTAAGCGATATTTGGTTTCTCCTGAGTAAAGGAACTCAACAAGCAATGGCAAAGCAGGCAGAGACTTTCCACCAGGAACACGGAGTTCATGGGGTGGCATAATGGTTAGGAGCCTGGGCTCATAGCCAACTATATAAAAATCCTGGTTTCCCACTAGCTGGTTGAATCTCACCAGCTTATTCTCCTCATTGGTACAATGGTGGTAATAACAGTATCTAACTCACAAGGTTGGTGTGAGGGATAAATGAGTTACTTTATGTATAAGTGCTCCAAACAGTCCCTGGCTTATAATTAGTACTCAAGACACATCAGCTACTATTTTTATTTATTTATTAAGTAACTTATCCCAAAGAATACCCTTGGCTCTTACTAATTAAAGTTTCATTAGTTTAAATGAATATGAATATATATGAATATAACCTCCTTCTTATCTGCTGATTCACTTCTCCAAGGACAATTAAAAAAAAAAAAAAAACCCTGAGTGGCTGAAAGTAAAAAAAAAAAAAATCTGGCTCAATGACATAAAGTAAAAGAATATTATAATTAAATTATTAACTGACATCCCTATTAAGAGCTACTCTGTCACACAACTGTTTAAAAAGAACAAACAATTCTGCTGTCATTTTAATTTTTCTGATTTTTATCAGGTCAACCTGACCAAAGTAGAGAGCACATAAATCTGCTTTTCATCCACGGGTAATGGAGGCAAAAGTCATTTGATGAGAAAAACATTCACAGAGAACAAATTTAATATCCAACTGTCTCAATTACTGATAAAAACTTCTAACTAGTAGTTATTAAATGGACCATAATAATTAGGCTTACAAAATGGAAAAAATGTGGGAATATCTGTACAGTAGAAACTCAATTTCTACTTTAGTTTAAATTTTACTCAGTGGGCAAAGTAGCTCTAAGGTTTAACTATATCAAGCTGTAAGTACAATATCTGTCAGTTACTCCTGGTAGCATAACCTCTGAGAAAGTTTTCTAGTCCCAGGTGTCACTATGGCTCTTATCTAAGGCAATCTTCGGGTCAAGGGACAAGCCTGCATTTGTTTCACCATCATTTTCTAAGGAATAATGGATCTTATATATATATTTTAGGACAAACTTCTCCACCACAGACACTTAAAGGAGCAGTATTTACCATGTATTTCCTGTATAGAGGGTGTCCTGGTTTGGGACGAGGGGGTAGCACCGGATCTTGACTTTTAAAGACTTGACTCTTGGCTTTTGAGAGTCCAGACGCCAAATGACTTTGTTTTTTCTGAAGATCCATGTCAGAAGAGGACCGATTAAAAGGCAGTTTTTTACTCGATGTTTTAGTGGCAGAAAGTTTGGGGGGAGGTGGTCTCTCAGGGGCCGCTTTAGAAGGAGGCTGTCGAGTTAGAATCACTTTTCCGTTTACAGGTCTGAAAGTTAATGTGGCAGTCATGAGTCAGCATCTGATGGGTACCGGTTTCTGTTGTCCTTTCTTACAGTGTGCACGTACATACACGCGCACGTGCACACACACACATACAGCTTTCTGCTACTGTAATACAATTACCGAAACCTGCAGGGTATGCTATTTTTGAGCAAACAACGGCTGCATTAAACATTGTTTTATTAGAGGAAATACCATGATGTTCCAGCTTCCTCTTATCTTGCACTGGAGATTCATTAGTTCAAGACAAACAAGCATTTACTATCATGAGCCCTCAAAGGCCCCAAGTGCTCTTAAACACATCATGACTGTTTCAGTAAGCTAAGCACTTTCTACCAGTCTGAGATGAAAAGCTTACAATATCAGGTATATGTACTAGGGCCTTGCAAATGATTAGAAAAGGAAAATCCCCTACTGTTTATGTTATAGGGATCACTGTTAAAACTCTAAAGAAATTAATTCTGAAAGTGGAAAGACAGCTATTACTTTGAAAACCTTTCCTTAATAGCTAAGACAGAAATAAATTTCAACATGGCACTGTCTTCTGACAGCAGCACAGCCTTTTGCTCACACAGCTCTGGGGACACAGGCAGCAGGTCACCTCTGAGTTTTGCAAGCCTGTCTTCCCTTAGAAATGCCAAAACCAGGCCCATTTCTCTTATGCAGAAGGGTGTTTGTGTGTGTGTTTTCCATAAATGGAGTTGTTTAAGGTTTACAAAGGAGTCTCGTTCATTTGTTTGTGGAAAAGAGAGACCCAGGTTTGTGCTCTAAATTTTGGAATGGGTTAAAAAGAAAAAGAAACAGAAATTCCAACAACTTTCTGTCAGAAGCAGACTGTGGGCTAGTGACCTGAGTAAATCTATGAGTTTATTTTATTTATAAAAGATCTAAGGCCAACAACACTCAGCCTGGATGACAGAAATAGAAAGAGTTGGATCTGACTCATTAATTGTTTTCTAGTATTTCTCATACTCACTTACCTTGGTGGCAACCTTGGGGGTCCTCGCCCAAAACCTCCTGTTTCACCTGTATGGTCGGGTTCCTACAAGTGTCAGGCAACACTTATTAGTCAAGACTAATCTAAAACAAGAACTTGTCAAGAGGAACTTTGGACAACTTTCTGGTTGGTTCAATAAGTGAAAGTGTAGCTGACTTAGAGAAAAGGGTCTTTTAACACCAAGCTACATCTTAAGCCCATTTTATTATTATTTTGAGACAAAGCCTCACTAAGTTGCCCAGGCTGGGCATTTTGAATTTGGGATTTTGAATTTGCAATCCTCCAGCAGCTTCAGCCTCCCCAACTGCTTGGATTATAGGCCTGCACCATCAGGATGGGCTTACAGTAGGTTCTGAACTACAAGGAGGTGAGAATAAAGAATGGCCTAAAAGGAAGGCATATGTGGAAAAATTGAAGCCCAAGAAGGGCGATTTTATACCACTGTGGCCAAGAGGTTGGGCAGGGTGAGAGGAAGTTACATATGGAAGAGTAAAGGGGAACAATGTGAAAAATAAAAGATGACCACAGTTGGAATGTTTCGATCTAATAGGAGATGAAAGAAATGAAGTACAGAGATAAATAGGAAGGTTTCTCTACGGGAAGGAACTTAAACTGTGCTGCTTGAAGTTTTCTGAATGTATTATAGTTCAAGGATTGGACAATGAGTACAATACATGGAAATATTTTCAGGTCTTTTGTTGAGAACGAAGTTAAGGATTTTGAGGCCAAAACTAGGATTTTTCTTTTGGTGGAGGCAGAAATCCTCACTAAATTCTTCTGATCGTCTCCTTTGTTCACCTGTCCTACTTTCCTAAGACTCAGATATGACACCCAAGAGGTAATATTTCCCCAAGACCTTATAAGGGAAAAATGCCAGCCTTTTAAAATTACACTGCCCGGGGCTGGGGATTTAGCTCAGTGGCTCCACCACCGGCTTCACAAGCACAAGGTCCTGGGTTCAATCCCTGGTACCACACCAAAATCAAAACAAAACAAAAAAAAACCAAAAATTACACTGCCTTTTTTTTGTAAAGAGGGTTGAATTATAGGTTGAGAATCTTTGGGCTAGTTCAGACTGTTTTCCTTCTTGTTATGAATGAGTTAAAATTTACTTTCTTGATTTAAAATTCATCCTCTTTATAACTTTTTCTTAAATACCAAATGATTAATTGCCAATAACTGCAATCATTTAAACATGTTTCAATGTTTTAAAAATCCCATTTTAAAAAACAAATTAAGCTTTCCTTTAAAACTTGGTTTCACTAATGAGTTCAGTTAATGTAGTGAGGCAAGGCACCAGCTCATAAACCCTGCAATATTCCAGAATATAATCCATGCCTTATAAATATACTGCTGCTTGTATTTCTTCCTGACAATACTGCTGAGACTTGAAAATGCAGCTATTTCTTTGGCTACCTTCAAAATTAAAAATACTCTAGCAGACAGGAAGAAACTTTAATTGCTTTTTTTCAAAATTATAGTTGTTAGACAATTTATTATCTAACTAGCTATTAGATAATTATGGGAAATTTAAAAAAGGTATCAAAGTACAAGTATGATATAGAAACATATAGGTAATGTATCACAATAAGTACAGAGCATATGATCCTAATTTTGTACTAAAAATTAGCTGTAGTTTTCTCTGTGTGGTGATATTTTTACGAAACACCTTAAATTATCCTTTTTTTCTTTGTATTACTGGAGAGCAAACCCAGGACCACACATACGCTAGGCAAAGATTCTATCACTGAGTTATATCCTCAACCCTTATTAAAATTTTATTTTGAGACATGATCTGGCTAAGTTCCTAGGCTGGTCTCAAACTTTAGAATCTCCTGCCTCCGCATCCCTTGTAGCTGGGATTACAGGCATGTGCCACCAAGCACAGTTTAAATCTTTTTAATTTTTCAATTTTTTACAGTGAGCAAATTTTAAGTTAGAAAAAAAGGCAGTGAATTGAAATTTCTTCAGGGATGTCAGGCGCGTCCTGAGAGGTTCTGTACCTCACACCACAAACAATGATCTAGGGTGGCTTCCACAGGAGGCACTGGCTCCGTGTTTACTAGGGCCTGGGTCCTGCCTGGACCGGCCCGATCTTTAGAAGATGCCTGATTAGGGACTTCCTTCTCTTCAACATCCCACAATAACTGGAAGCCTCTCTGAGCCTCCTTTGCGGTATTTTTTTCAGTTCTGATGTCTTTGAGCTTTAGCTTTTGAGGGGTTTGAATAAGCATTTTAGCTCCCGATGAACTGAGTTTTCCTACTAGTCTCTGTAGATGCTGTCTTTTTGTGTAGCTGCATTAGAATTACACTTTAACACCAAAATGATTTCCCATTTTGGTGGTATTTAAAGGAGATTTTTCTCTTAAGGTTGCACTGACATTTTGGAATTATGAGTGGCCTCTAGATGTGTTTTCGAAAAGCTGATACTGTTTCTTGTGTCCTGAGCTCTAAATCAGCCTGTGCCCTTCCACATACACCTCTGTGTTGTATATCTGATGTGAGCCTGTACTGGTCAGCAGCCTCCTGGGGTCGGGGGGCGCTCTGAGTCCCCACAGTGGGCAGCGGGACACAGAGCTCCTGCACAGAAGGGCCCTAGTGACTCCTGACTTTCCTCAGCCTGAGAAGGAAAATTCTCAGCACTCATGCAAGAGAAACAGCAGTGGTTTTTGTCCTTTGCGTGGTCAGGAGACACAGCTGGCAAAGACCAGGCATATCCCTGTGGGTTGCTATGCTAATGAAATATGCCTTTGAGAGACCCTCATTCTCACCTTCAGTCTTTATGGGCTCTGGTCTAAAAGTTGTTTCAGTAACTAATTCTCAAAGAAAAGGAATTTCTTAGGTACACATTTGACTTCCAGTCTTTACAAATCTAAACATGCGATTTCAAGCAAAACATTTAACCTGTAGCTTGTTCCTCTCATTTTTTTCCTTCAGACTCAGTGTGTCTACAATGGTATGCACTTATAAAAGTACAGACTGCTCTGACTCCTTTTATAAACAGGGCAGGACAGAATTTTCCTCATGTTCATGTCAGGTACAAGCACAATTACACATACAGTATTTCTCCAGAAGGATCAGTTGATTCTAACTTCTGCTTTTTGTTTATTTTAAATATGGTGTTGCTAGTGGACTGCTTAACACCAAATATAATAATAATATATCTGTATAGAGCTTTGTCGTTCACAAAGCGCATTACATCACCTAAGGAATGATATGTGTAGTTTTTATCACACTTTTACTTCCTTTTATAATCTTTTCAGAGTAAATGCCTGTAACCTTCTCAAGCAAACACTGTTCCCTGGAAATATGGGGTTTTCCTATTCAACAACAGTAATAGTAAGGACCATATCATTCTGTTTTGGGCTTTCTTGGCCGAATTTTAATAAAAAATTATTACCAAGTGCTTTGAAAATACAAATGATCACTATAAATTTTAATTCATTCTACAGAAAATCTCATTAACTTGGTATTGGCTAATTTAATTTAATGTCCTCTTCAAAGAATTTTCTCTTCACTAGATGGGTTTGAATGCACAGTGTAAAACTATTATAAAAATCTGAACTGAAAATTAGTTTCAAAGACTGAGAATTGACTGCATGAAATAAGTCTTAAAGATTATCTACCTTATGGAAATATTGAGGTTGGAAAAAAATGCAAAATTCTTTGACCATCATCTTAAATGTACAGTAAGGCACCATTTTATTTATTTATTTATTTCCTCATTGAGTTTATTGGTACTTTTTAGGTACACAGTAGAGTCGCATTCATCATTGGGATCTTGTACCTTTACATGACTTGGTAAGGCACTGTTTTTTTTTTTTTTTAATTAAAAATCACTTTTTTCTTAAATTTCAGATTTAAAAATCTTAGGGTAATTATCTTAAAGTTACTTACATATTAGATATTAGAAAATAAGATATTTTAAATAAAAACTGAAAGTGTGACTAAATATTTCCATAAGTATTAAATTTTTTTTAGATTTCTACCAATTTCATTATGAGCATAATTTAAAAGACAATATCATTATATAGATACATGATAAATTATTTCACAATGAAGTACAATGAATTAGCCTAATCCCTCTACAGGGATATTTTTTTTTTTTTAAGTACAAGCCTTGGGGCTTAGTAACTGGTTTCTAATAGAAATATATTTATATATATGGATATAAATTATCTTAAAGTTACTTACATATTAGATATTAGAAAATAAGATATTTTAAATAAAAACTGAAAGTGTGACTAAATATTTCCATAAGTATTAAATTTTTTTTAGATTTCTACCAATTTCATTATGAGCATAATTTAAAAGACAATATCATTATATAGATACATGATAAATTATTTCACAATGAAGTACAATGAATTAGCCTAATCCCTCTACAGGGATATTTTTGTTTTTTTAAGTACAAGCCTTGGGGCTTAGTAACTGGTTTCTAATAGAAATATATTTATATATATGTATATATATATATATATATATATATTATTTAATCTGACCAGTAGTAAAATAATTTAGCCATCAGCAGAATATTTTAAAATTAGTACATAACTTTTTCTTCAACCTAGTACAATCTATTACCAACACTTACCACACTTTTTGTTCCGTCAATGTTACAGAGTTTTCCAGACACTGCACTGTAAGTGTTTCCAATAGGTTTTTCAGCAGGGAGTGGAGGTGGGCTTTGTGAATCTTCAGGTAAACCTTGCAAAAACAGCAGTAATTCATTAGTAATGTCTAGCCTGGGATTCTAAAGAATGAAATGATTGCAGCTTTGTTCTTTAGGAAAATAGCTATCATAAAAGACCCAAAGAACAAACAGTTAAACAAATGAGAAAGAGCTCTCAGCAAATCTCAAAAATTGATGTTAGTCAACATCAATTAATTTTATTACATGTTTTATAGAAAGTGAAATAGTACTAAATAATACTGAATAATTACTACAGCAAATAGCATTTGCTGTGAGCCTTCTCTGTGAAAGATATTAACTAAGGAACTTCATCTGCATACATTTCTCTATCCAACAAACAAGTGCAATCAACAAATATCGTGTTTAAAAGTTTAAAATATCACAACAAAAGACATATCGCCATTAATTCCCCTCAAAGTATTTCCCCTCACTTTGAACACATTTATCCCATCCTTCTTGACACTTCCTGAAACACTTCTGGAAGACCTCTTTTTTGAGTGTCTTTAGTTGCACTGTCATGGCTGCCTTCAAGTCCAGAATCAATTTAAAATGTTTACCTTTCACGGTTATTTTGACTTTGGGGATGAGCCAGAATTTGCAAGGTGCTAGATCCGGTGAATAGGGTGGATGTGGACACACCATAAGGTTTTTATTTTACAGAAATTGCAGCAAACATATGATCAATGAGTGGTGATCAAAAATATGATAATTTTTAAATACAGAAATGTATTACAGCAAAAGACACATTGTTATCAATCCCTCTCAACACGCTAAAAGTATTTCCCGTGGTTTCAGACATACATTTGTCCCACAGCTCCTGGCAATGTGTCTTCACTGTATTAAGTCTTCTTTAAAATGTAAACATTTACTCTATTCTTCAATCATCCCTTGTATCTATGTGCTAGATCTGCCTCTGTGGTGATTTAAACAAATTTTAATTAAAATGAAATAAAATTTCAGTTTCTCAGTTGTACTACCCATATTTCAAATACTCAACAGCCATTTATTAGCTCAGATATGGAACATTTCCATTATTGCACATATTCTATATATTTTAATAGATGAAAAAAGTAAAGTTACAAAAAACAGTTACCTAAGGTTATAATGTTAGTAACTGTTAGGTTTTCTTCTATTTGTGAACCCAAAACCCTGTCTCACTCTAATAAGACATATTGCTTAATATGTGGCATACCCAGCCCTTCCCCATCTAATAATTAAATGTTTTTTAATTAACTAGCTCCAGATTCATAAACATAATTAACCTCAATTAAACAAACAATACCTTTACTTTACATCCAAATCACATTCTGATCTTACTAACAGCGTCTTTGCAACTTTTTGTTTGGCATCAGGGATTGAACTCGGTACCTTGGGCTTGCAAGGCAGGCGGCGGAACCACTGAGCTAAAGCCCCGGCCCTCCTCCCACTTTTTTTAAAGGAAGAAAAAACAGATGACCAAAACTAATTAGTGGCTGCTAAATAAAATCGGTGTGCAAAAGTAGTTGAAGAGACGTTACTATAACATACTGAAGGAAGCTAAAGCCACCTTTTACAGTATTTGCTTTAGACATTGAAAGAAAATGGGAATTCTTTTTTTTTTTAAAGAAATGAATACTTTTCATTTCCATTTCACATGAAAAATCTGTAACAAGAGGATAATTTGTAAGGTGCTTGTTTTGTCAACAGTCAGGAAAATGTTCTTAAAAGGAGGAAATACCCAGGTCAGTTAGTAGGAAAACTGATTGAGAGACAGGCAAATGTTTTTAGTGAGAGGCAGGACTGCTGTGGGGATTACAACATGCACAGAACACCCAATTCAGCCACTATCTTGAAGACTTCCCCTGGTGCACCCCTAGGAAATAAAGAATCACAGGACAAAACTCTGTTCTAACAAATATGGAAGAACGCAAAGTGAATGAAAGCAATAAAGAAGGTGCTTACTGGTAGGGGAGTCTCCATGAGTGTGTGACGGGCTAAGGATGGAGACAACTGCCATTTTTATTTTACTTTATTTCAAGAAAAAAATGTTTAAAAATAAATAAAAATGCGAAATTTTTAAGCATTAAAAAAAAGAAACATTTTTGGGGTACTAGGGACAGAACTCAGGACCTAGTGCTTGTCAGGCGGGTGTGGCCACTGAGCTGCACCCCAATTTTAAATAATATCGCTGGTGAAGGTATCACTGAGAAAGTGACATCAGAGCAGAGACATAAAGAGTAGTGAGGGAGAAAGCCATGTAGACATCTGGGGAAAGGTATCCATTTAGAAAGAACAGGACCCACAGGGGACAAAGCTGACCAGTTCAAAGAAAGAAGATCAAGGAGTTTGGCACAATCAGGCTGTTACTTTCTTGCTTTATCCATTCCATTTCAAGTTTTTCAGATGCCAAGTCTTGTTCTTTTCGTGCTGCAGTATACAGTATATTCACTGGTTAACAAAAGGAATAAGAGAATTTGGGGGAACAGGTTTTTGTTGAAAGCAACTTTTCAGTGGTGGGGCCTTTAACACTGAGCTATACCCCTAAACCCCCCCTTTATTTTTATTTTGATATAGGATGTGGTTAAATTGCTAAACTGCCCAAGTAAAACTCAAGCTTGTGATCCTCCTACCTTAGTCTTCCAGACGCTGGCATTAACAGGTGTGTAACACCACATCTGGCCTAGAAAAGCTACTTTTTTGTTGTTGTTGTTGTTGTTGTTGAGACAGGGTCTCACTATGTAGCCCAGCCTGACCTTGAATTCACTA